TAAACACCTTCAGCAAAGTGGCAGGATACAAAATCAACTCAAAAAAATCAGAAGCCCTCCTGTATACCGAAGACAAAAGGGCCGAGAAAGAAATTAGGGAAACAACACCCTTCACAATAGCCACTAATAACATAAAGTACCTTGGGGTGACACTAACCAAGCAAGTGAAAGACCTGTTTGAGAAAAACTTCAAGTCTCTGAAGAAAGAAATTGAAGAAGATCTCAGAAGATGGAAAGATCTCCCGTGCTCATGGATTGGTAGGATTAACATTGAGAAAATGGCCATCCTGCCAAAAGCAATCTACAGATTCAGTGCAATTCCCATCAAAATATCAACTCAATTCTTTACAGAACTTGAAAAAAAGATTCTCAGCTTCATATGGAGAAACAAAAAACCCAGAATCTCCAAAACAATCCTGTACAACAACAGATCCTCTGGAGGTATTTCCATCCCCGATCTCAAGTTGTACTACAGAGCAATAGTAATAAAAACTGCATGGTATTGGCATAAAAACAGAAAGGAGGATCAATGGAACTGCATAGAAGACCCAGAAATATACCCACACACCTATGAATACTCGATTTTTGACAAAGAAGCCAAAACCATTCAATGGAAAAAAGACAGCATCTTCAACAAATGGTGCTGGTCCAACTGGATTTCTACATGCAGAAAAATGAAAATAGATCCATATTTATCACTCTGCACAAAACTAAAGTCCAAGTGGATCAAAGACCTCAACATAAAACCGGATACTCTAAATCTGTTAGAAGAAAAAGTGGGGAACAGCCTAGAACTCATTGGCACAGGAGACAACTTCCTGAACAGAACACCAACAGCACAGGCTCTAAGAGCAACAATCAATAAATGGGACCTCATGAAACTGAAAAGCTTCTGTAAAGCAAAGGACACTGTCATCAAAACAAAACGCCTGCCTACAGATTGGGAAAGAATCTTCACTAACCCTTTATCTGACAGAGGACTAATATCGAGTATGTACAAAGAACTAAAGAAGCTGAAAAGCAGCAAACCAAGTAATCCAATTAAAAAATGGGGAACAGAGCTAAACAGAATTCTCGACAGAGGAATATCGAATGGCAGAGAAACACTTAAAAGAAATGCTCATCCTCATTAGCCATCAGGGAAATGGAAATCAAAATGACCCTGAGATTTCACCTTACACCCATTAGAATGACGAAGATGAAAAACTCAAGTGACAACACATGCTGGAGAGGTTGTGGAGAAAGGAGAACCCTCCTCCACTGCTGGTGGCAATGTAAACTGATACAACCACCCTGGAAATATATCTGGCACTTTCTAAGACAATTAGGAATAGTGCTTCCTCAAGACCCAGCTACACCATTGCTAAGTATATACCCAAACTTTGCTCAAGTACACAAAAGGGATACTTGCTCAACCATGTTTATAGCAGCTTTATTTGTAATAGCCAGAACCTGGAAACAACCCAGATGTCCATCAATGGAGGAATGGGTACAGAAATTGTGGTATTTTTACACAATGGAATATACTACTCAGTAATCAAAAAGGAGGAAATCATGAAATTTGCAGGCAAATGGTGGGATCTAGAAAAGATCATTCTGAGTGAAATATCCCAGAAGGAGAAAGACAAACATGGTATATACTCACTTATATAGACCTATAAGATATGATAAACATAATGAAATCTATACACCTAAAAAAGACAATCAAGAGAGCGGACATGGGGTAAGATTATCAATCCTCGTTTAGAAAGACAGATGGGATGTGCATTGAACGTATGACAGGAGTCTACTGGGAGCATCTGAAAGACTCTAACTAGCAGTGTTTTCAAAGCGGATACAAAGACTTATGACCAAACCTTCGGCATAGTACAGGGAATCATATGAAAGAAGGGGAGTTGTGTGATGTGGAAAGGATAGGAGCTCCACAAGGACCAAATATATCTGGGCACAGGGTCTTCTCTGAGACTGACATTCAACCAAGGACCATGTATGGATATAACCTAGAACCTCTGCTCAGATGTAGCTTGTGGTAGCTCAGTAACCAATTGGTTTCCCATAGTGAGGGAAACAAGGACTATTTCTAACAGGAACTCAATAACTGGCTCTTTGACCTCCCCACCCCCCCAAGGAAGGAGCAGTCCTGTTAGGCCACAGAGGAGGGTTTCGCAGCCAGTCCTGAAGATACCTGATAAAACAGGATTGGATGAATGGGGAGGAGGTCCCCCCTATCAGTGGACTTGGAAAGGGGCACGGTGGAGAAGAGAGAGGGAGAGTGGGATTGGGAGGGAATGAGGGAGCAGGACACGGCTGAGATACAGAGTTAATATAATGTAACTGATAAGAAAAAAATAAAATTTAAAAAAAAAAAGAAAAAAATGGAAGGAGTCAAGATTGGCATGAATGTCTTTCCAGTACACCTAAGTCATGCATGCAGAAATCAAAGCAAGTCAAAGTGTTCCCTTTTGTACTTCCAGCCTGTTATCTTCAATTCCCAGTGTGTCAAACAGGCAGAATTGCTCGTGGGGATTACAGGAAATCTTGGAAGCAATTAATTATATCTGTGTTTACATTTGACAACAGGTAACTTTGTGCTTACATATTAGAGACTTTCTCTAAAAGAGTTAAAACCAGAACTGTTTCAAATTTTGAATTATGGTGGAGAAATTCAGAATATTTGTTTAGACAATGTTTATACATTTTTTAACATGAGATTCAAGTCGAACCAAGTTCATTTGTTTCCTATATGCATTGTTTGCATGCTCTAAAGGTCCCTTTACACAGTATTTTTAGTGTACCTGCATCTTGATTATGACCCGTCCCATGAGGTCAGATGGAAAGCTTTCCACCTGTAGTGTCATGTAAGCACACCAAAACTTGGAAATTTAGGAGCTTTTAAGATTTTTTTGGGGGGGGCTTCAAAGCTTTAGAGAACAGACATGAGTAACGACTTCCCAGATCAGGTAAAAGGGTTCTTTGGTCTGCAGAAGCCTGGCCATAAGCAATTGGCTGTCTCAGATGTTCTGCACTTGAGCACATTTTGAAGAAAGCTAGAACATGGAAAGAGACAATGGCTTCACAGTACATTAAATGCTCAGGACCCACCAGAAAAATAGAGGCTACAATCTAGTCAAGAAGTTTCTTGCAGCATACAGTAACGCCAGTGCTCAGGAATGAGCAGGAGGACTGGGAACTTGAGGCTAGCCCATGTGTGGCTGTCTCAAAAAATGGTGACTTGGGATGTCATTCTGCAAGCGGCGCAGATAAAGAGAGAAGATGAGCAGCTCTAAGGCGGGGCAGTACAGATGCTGAGATTAAAATGGCACAATATTTGTTCTTTGATCACAAATTCCTCATAAGTATGTTGGTCACATTATGATCTTGTCACCTTATTATTTTCCATCCTCTCATTTCTCTGTTTTTTTTAATAACTCTTCCTTCTCTTCATTCCTGACTGTCCTGTAATTGATGTTTTCCAATGCAAAGAAATGGAATTATCGTAAACTACTTTGTGTAGTGATCTCTGACTGTTCATGGCTGACTAAGACTTCTAACAATTAGCTTGTGTGTGCTGACGAAAAAAAAAATTCTAAAGTTCCTGTGCCCACAAAAATGAACAGATTTTCTGCTTCATTCATTTGGAGAAGGGTGAGAAGTTACTATAAGAAACTCTTTTATAAATATTTGGGGGCATTTGCCTTGATCGAAAAGGTTAGAAGTGATTGCAGGAGTTCGGTGGTATGTTTTCCATTTACTCTTTTCTGTCATAGTTTAAAAATTCATTTCTCATGAGTGAGAGAAAGCAAGGTTTCAACAATAAAAGTATTTTTAAGTGCCAATTCCATACTTTCTATTGTTTCCAAAGAAGAGAAACTATGCTGCAGTCCACCCATGATTAGTGACAGGTCTGGTGAGGGAAAAACAAGGTGAACTTTACAAGCCATGAGGCGTTTTCAGTCTTGGAAAAGTTTGTCTTTGCTCCTGAAGCAAGCCAGCTGCCATGCAGATTGTCAAAACACAATTCTCCAAAAGTCTCTCCTGTGAGGCTTTGTACTTTAGGGTTAACTTTGTCCACATCTCAACCATACACATGAACTTTGAGCCACAGTGGAGAGAGACAGTATGGGAAAACGTTAGAAAGATCCTGCTTTTGTACAAAATACTAGCCAAGTGGAGCTGATGAAAAGTGGCTAAAATTATGAAAAGTGGCTAAAAACTGATTTTTGTATGCTCTTTAATTTATAAAAAAACCTGAGGGAAATGACAGACATTTCTTTCTTCAAGGAGAAGGCAGTAAGCAGGTGCCAATCTGCCAGGAGCATGCTAGATGACATTAAGAGGAACAGCAAAAAAAAAAAAAAAAAAAAAAAAAAAAAAAAAAAAAGAGGAACAGCATAGCAGGTGTCACAAGAAATAAGACAATCTTGTTCCATGGGCTCTGGTCTTTAACATAAAGAAGGAGTAGCTGCCTTTGGAAATACATTACATCATTCTCATCTTGGAAGCAAGAAAGCAAGCCAGCTGCTAGTCTGTCTGGTTTCTTTCATTTCTGTCCCTTTTGAGCACCCAACCCTTCCTACCCCCAAGCTGGTAGGAAGGTTGGAGATCAGCACTTTTAAACAAAGACACTGGCCTATATGTTTTCAAGCCAAAGCGATGGCCAATTCTCAGCCTCTAGCACACGGCCATTTCCCTGCTAAAGGGAGCAGGGCCCTTGGTCAACTAATACAAACACACTGTAAGCTAGCCCCACCAAATTTCCAGATCTCGGACCTTGTGCTGGCTTTGTGTTCCCTTTAACTCAGTCTTTTCAGGATGTTTGTCACTTTACAGAGGTCAGTTACTAGGATTTCCATGTGGTTGTTTACCTTAGTTAAAGAAGTTTAATAGGCTCTGCTGCGCTTGAGCTAATCTGTCCCAAGCCACCAGGCCCATGTGACTTGACTTCCTGCATCATCACTGCCTCACGCTTTTGACAGATTTCTTCCCGTTCGCCTTTGCAGGTTTCACAGCAGCAGCCTCCCTCGTGTCCTTGGCTTGGGCCCTAGCCTCCTACCAGAAGGCTCTCCGGGACTCCCGAGATGACAAAAAGCCCATCAGCTACATGGCCGTCATCATCCAGTTCTGCTGGCATTTCTTCACCATCGCCGCCAGGGTCATCACATTCGCCCTCTTTGCCTCTGTTTTCCAGCTGTACTTTGGAATATTCATTGTCCTCCACTGGTGTGTCATGACCTTCTGGATTGTCCACTGTGAGACCGAGTTCTGCATCACCAAATGGGAAGAGATTGTGTTCGACATGGTGGTGGGCATTGTCTACATCTTCAGCTGGTTCAATGTCAAGGAAGGCAGGACACGCTGCAGGCTGTTCATTTACTATTTTGTAATCCTCTTGGAAAACACAGCCTTGAGTGCACTCTGGTACCTCTACAAAGCTCCCCAGATTGCGGATGCGTTTGCCATCCCTGCACTGTGCGTGGTTTTCAGCAGCTTTCTAACAGGTGTTGTTTTTATGCTGATGTACTATGCCTTCTTCCATCCCAACGGGCCCCGATTTGGGCAGTCACCAAGTTGTGCTTGTGACGACCCTGCCACTGCCTTCTCTCTGCCTCCGGAAGTGGCCACTAGCACACTGCGCTCCATTTCCAACAACCGCAGTGTGGCCGGTGACCGCGATCAGAAATTTGCAGAGCGGGATGGATGTGTACCTGTGTTTCAGGTGAGACCAACTGCACCACCCACGCCATCATCTCGACCACCACGGATTGAAGAATCAGTCATTAAAATTGACCTGTTCAGGAATAGGTACCCAGCGTGGGAGAGACACGTGTTGGACCGAAGCCTGAGAAAGGCCATTTTAGCCTTTGAATGTTCCCCATCTCCTCCAAGGCTGCAGTACAAAGACGATGCCCTTATTCAGGAGAGGCTGGAATATGAAACCACTTTATAAGACAGAAGGAGCCACAATGTCCACATGAAAGGGTGACAGCAGGGCTGTGGCAATAATGACACCTTATCCAAGTGAAGGGCAATGAGCTATATGTTCTTAGTCCAAACATTGTCATGGTATGGTTTGATCTTCCATCAGCTGACTGCCTGCTGCTGGAGTCCATTCAAGCCAGCAGTGCTGAGAGTCCCTTACTCTGCCTTGAGGGGCAATGCCAGCTTAGTATGACTGTTGCTACCAAAATCCTCCAGCGCAGGCTAGGGGCACATTCACTGGAGGTACAATTATTATGAAAAATGTTGCCTCTAATCATTAGGGTATTTTGATGGCGTTTACTGATTTTTGCATAAATGTGTTCACACACCACCACCACCATCACCACAACCAGCCCTCTACCAAAAGAGTCAAGGTGGGGCTGGAAAGATGACTGAGTGGTTTAGCGCACTGACTGCTCTTCCAGAGGACCCAGGTTTGATTCCCAGCACCCACTCGGCAGCTCACTGAAATTCTAGCTCCAGGAGACACAGTGCCCATTTTTGGCCTCCTCAGGCAGTGCACACACCTGGTGCACAGACATATATGCAGGCAAAACACCCACACACATAAACTAAAAATAAATCTAAAAAAAAAAAAAAAAAAAAAAGCTTAGGTGATTTCCTTGATGCAAAGCTAACAACAGACTCCAGGAAAAAAAGCAGTATGCTTGGAAAGGTTCGATAAATCGTTTTCTCATTTGTAAGCCAGTAGCATCTGTGGCAAAGCCTGTAGAGTGGACAGCAAGACTCAAGTGTTTACACTCGTACTAGCATTGATGGAATGATTCTTTTTCTATACTTTTCAGGATTTGTTTTTTACTTTCGGTTTTGCAGTTGAGAACACCCTTTATGACAGAAATTCTATGCAGCACATGTATGGCTTTTGATGAGACCAAGGAGCTCAATATCAATGATATAAATTAAATAATAATCAGGATTCAGTGTTGAATTGCAAAAATACAAAGAGCAGTTGGGGGAGGGACGATATGAGAGTCAGATTCTCCGGTGTGTGCAGCTCAAATTGGAATGCACCCGCAGAGCCATGGGAGAGGAAAAGGTGCTGTTTCCAGGTCTGTTTCCAAGTGCAGAACGAGCATGGGTCAGCAGGTGTGATTCTGGAAACCACATGTCACGTTTCTAGTGCCAAACTTTGTCCAATCACAGAACTGATATGGAATCCCCCAAAACTGGGAATAAGCGGTGTCACAGAGCAAACCAGAGAAGAATAATCCGGTTTTCTGCTGTGTACAGACTTACCCTCTCCCATCCAAGGTCAAAGTGATGTGTCTCCTAGAGAAGCTGGGACACCTTTTGGCAAGTGTGAGCATACAGATGCAGCATGTATGCTGTGAGAGAACTGCCTGGGCTGCTTGAGGGCTCACCACTCCATCAGCTAAGATTTGTATTCCAATCATCTGTAAAGTCGCGCTCTTACAAGCTTCTGAGTTTTAAATACCTCCGTACAGCAAGTAAACATTCCCGCTTTCTTTTCTCAGTGTCCTTGGTCATGGTGCTTTTTGTTGCATTAAAAGTGCCGGTCAAACTTTGATAGTATTTTTTTATAGTTGGTGCAGAGTGGAATAACTCATGGATTATTTCAATATTTTTGTAATAAAAATATAGGGTGTACATATAGGCATCGTTGCTTTTTTTATAGACTTGGAGTTATTTAAAATATGTTAAATGTCATATTCACTTGGGATATCAGAATCTTGTCTACAAATCCATCAGCTTGCCTCGGCAGATTGAAAACACTTGTCTCTGGCGAGATCACCTTACTTTTTGCAATTTGATGTCCCCAAGAACCTGCACAGGGGTGCTATCAGAGTATCAAGTGAAGATGGAAGTAACCTAATCAGAAAGGGCTTGTGAAGACTGGCCAATGTCTCCCAGGAAATCAAAGATGTGATTTCTTTCATCCATCCATTAGAACAACCTGACCACAGTGGAAGATGTCTTAAACTTTCCTGCCTGGTTTTATACTAACCCAGCTGATATATTAAAGATTAGTCAAGTCACACAAAAAGAAGGAAGAAAGTCAGTTTCATTCAAATATTCACTTAAAATAGTCAATATCTAGAGCCACCACCTGAAATGGATGTGTCGTCCAAAGACTTGACCCTGAAGTGACATCCACAGCAAGAGACAGAGGGCTCAATCTTGGACTTCTTTTGGTACAAAGTCCCAAAGCAACTTTTTAAGACAGACGATTTTTATCAGACATATTTCCTAATACTGAATGATTTGACCCTTCAAGCAAGATTTCCACTACAATACACTAATCTTTTGTTGAAATGAAGAAGTATTACCTTGCCACAGTAACGCTCCAGGAAGACACTCGGCTTCTACCAAGTGGTGGACACATCCCATTCCGCTGTAGAAGGGAATCACAAGAATTTGGGCAGATACTTCGCTGGTTTGCAGAACCATGAGTTATTAACTTCATTAGTTCGGAGACAACTTCTAACTGATGCGCTCTGAACTGACCTTCCCAGGTGGACTGCAACTTTGATTCTGTGAGTGAATAACGGTTACATTGAAACAGTGTCCAGCCAACCAATCCAACAGGAGCCTCCACTCTTCCATCACGTGAGTTCTAAGCTACTTCCCAATTTGATCTCACCTGTGACATGCTAAGGGTTAGAACAGGTGTGGGAGTAGGCAGTTGTGTGCTGTGCTCTGTCTTGATAGTAATGTAAGTAATCAAATAGAAAAGCAAACAACAACAATCAAAATATCACTCCAGCAGGACTTAATCTTGCTCTGCTGATCCAGAAAGCACATACTGTCATCAGGCTGTTGTAGAATATAAACACAAGGCAGGGTTCAACGAGGCATCATTAATGCACAAAGGAACAATTTTCATTCTTCCTAAAATGTTATTTTCATAGGATATGAGGCTCTGCACAAAGTAGCTAGAAAATGATCAAAGGGGGTGAGCAATGGCTAGCATACAAATGGAAATAAGGGCCTCTTTATCTTGAGCTGAGACTTCCTGGGTCTGAATACACTTTAATTCACCTGAAAGCAGGAACTTGCACTCTGCCCAAAGTTTGGCTAAGAGTCTCAGCATCTTATGAAAGAAGAGGGAGATAGAAAGACCTGGAGGGAATAGGAACCCCGTAAGGAGAGCAACAGAGCCAAAATATCTGGGCCTAGGGGTCTTTTCTGTGACTGATACTCCAATCAAGGACCATTCATGGAGATAACCTAGAACTCCTGCACAGATGTAGCCTATGGCAGCTTAGTCTCCAAGTGGGTTCCCTAGTAAGGGGAACAGGAACTGTCTCTGACATGAACTCAGTGGCTGGCTCTTTGAGCATCTCCCTTTGGGGAAAGGGGGTATTCTTACCAGGCCTCAGAGAAAGACTATGCAGTTATTCCTGATGAGACCTGATAGGCTAGTGTCAGATAGAAGGATAGGAGGACCTCCCTATCAGTGGACTAGGGGAGAGGCATGGGAAGAGAAGAGGGAGGGATGACAGAATTGGGAGGGGAAGAGAGAGGGGACAAGGGTGGGATACAAAATGAATAAATTGTAATAAATAATTTTTTAAAAAAAAATCTCCTGACAAAGAAAAAAATAAAGGCATGAGCTTGCTACCTTATAGTAAAAATGTTTGCACAGGGTGGTGATTTTTTTAAGACAAAAACCTCTCTAGTTAGCATTTATAAGTTAACTCATACTTAAAGAACCCAGATATATATACATGAACCATGCTGAGACTCCATTTATGTAGAAGAAAAGCAATTTTCCATGCCTATCAAAGTCTGAATCCCAAGAAATTATGTCCTTTACATTCCCTATACACATTATTCTACTTACCTGTGTCTTGTCCAGTTCAGGAACTGCCTTTTTAGATGCTCCATGAAAATTCATTTGTGGAGAATACTATTAGCCCAACAGATGAAAGATTCCCCTTATCAAGAGGCTGAGATGCTGCAATTCAAGTGTTATCGACAGACAAATTAAAAAATAATCTGAAAATAACTAATCTGAGGATAAATGTATAATAGTGAATCCCTAAACACCCAGTTTACCCTGCTATTCATAAGTGAAGTGAAGTGAAGATAGTTTAGCAGGCAGGCCAAGGTCCCATTAAGCCTGATAGTTCAGTCCTCAGAACTCATATGGTAGAAGGAAGAACTGACGTCATCAAGTTGTCCCCTGACTCCCACATACATGTCGTGTCATGTGCATGGCCAAACCTGTATGCATTAAGTAGACAGAGCAAATGATAGATGATAGGTAGATGATGATAATAGATACAAATAGAGTCTAGATAGATAGATGATAGATTCATTGATGATAGATAATAGATAGATTGATAAATAGCTAGATAAATGATAGATAGATAAATAGATAAATAGATAGATAGATAGATAGATAGATAGATAGATAGATAGATAGATAGACGATGGATAGATAGATGATAGCTTTTTAGAGTTTTGTGCCTATAAGATGGCCCAGCAATAAATCTAATAACTGTAAAAAGATGCAAACCTGGCCTGAATTTGATCTCTGAAACTCATGGAATAGTGTAAAGAGAGATCCAACTCTACAAAGTTGTCCTTTAACCCCTATACACACACCATGGCACATGTGTCCTTCCACACCCATGATAAACACACACAGACAGATACTCATATAAGCATACACACACACAAGTACATACACACACACAAATTTAAAAATGAATGGGAATGGCTTAAATCTCCACGACTTTCTGAAATCACTATAGGTGTGTTGCTAACATAAAGATTAAAATATGAAGTATGTTCTGCTATTTAATGTATAGGAAGTGACATATTATTGACATGTGACCTTTGAGACAAGAACCTTTTATTTATTCCTTTTTTAAAAAATCAGCTGTCCATACAGTTCGTGCCTATATGACATGCAATTCCTTGCTCCTGGCTTGAGTGAACCTTTTCATCCTTAAGCATTTCATTTTTTAAGTGGCTTAATAGACTAGTTTTGTGTCTCTTCAGAGTTCCCTGAACATGTTGATTAAGCCAAGGACAACCTTTATGTCTATACACAGTTGTGTGAGGTGATAGCTACTCTCAAATGCACTAGAGTGGAAGCAAATTCTGACACAATGTTTAGACAAAAATCCAGTGAGTTTATTCTAATGAACCACTTTCTAGACTAAATATATGCTCCCTTGAATTCTCCACGTATCTTTGCCATTAGCCATGACTGTTTCTATATAGAGCTTGCGTGAGATGCCTGAATTTTTATGTTTCCAAGGAGAATTCCTTAAAGCCTCTTTTAAAAATAGTTTCAACTGTCTTTTAGAATCTGATTCTGTGAGGATGAGGGAGGCAGAAGCTGACAACACAGCAGGACTGACACGGACGTTGTGATAATTTTAGTGATGGACACAAATCATTTCACATTCCTTTGACCAGGAATCTGGTGTCACTTTTGAAAATAGTCAAAGTTGTTACTTCTGCCAGCTTTAGCTTAAGACACCCCTCTGTTACCCAAAATTTGATGCTTTGAAAGTGACTAGGAATAGGTAACTTCACTTTAGTCCTCATTGCTGAGTCACTTTCCCCAACCTGTATCCAGGTGAGAGATTACTCAACCACTGGGTCACGTCCTTTCTCCTCTCCCAGTCTCCTGTAGTAGCATCAGGCCACCACAAAGCTCTCTGTTGGCAGGCCTTGTTCAGTTGCTGTCCTGAAAATGGGCCTATAACAAGACTCTGTGTACTTTCCTGTGATGAACAGCCTCGACATTACCCATTCAAAAGTAAAACTGCAGCATGTGGGTGGAATTGGATAAAAATGTAATGAGTCATTTAATTTTACTAATTGTAGCAATTAGGCTAGCTCACAAGCAGCTACTACACCAGAGAGCCAAATGTAAAAAGTGGCATGAAGCCACGTGCCCACAGGGGCTAAGAAACTCCTGAAGGAGTGGTCAAGGCATTAGATAACCTCAGGTCTACCTGACCCTTCCTCTTGATTCCATGAGGAAGCAGTGATTAGATTCTTATTATATTGTATGTAGTAATAGTTGCAGAAATGCAAAGCTTAGCAACCTGCATGTCCCAGGCTTTGCTACTCAAGGATGCTGACTGCTTCTGACTTGCCTAATAATTTCATTAAAACACTTACATATTACACTGATATAACACAGCCTCAGAAACAAACTAAGTTGAATGTTACTTTGGTTATTTTGTTTGCATATAGATTTCCTTGCTGTTTGACTTCCATATCAGGCAGAGTATCATTATTAGGAATTTACAACATGTTAGCACTCTACTGACCACCCTTACCTCTGGGATCCCACTACCCCTCACAGCCACCAGTAAATGACATCATTTTCAGACGGCACAGCTTCAGCCCAAAGCTGGTAAGTGGCTTGCCAATGCACAACAGGTAAGCTATAGAAACATGAAGATGAAAGTTAAGCCCAGCTTCTACCAACTGGAAGATTTCCGAGAACAGTGGCTATTCCATCAAAGCCTACTTTTGATTCTGCAAGTTAAATGGAAAAACAGAATTATGTTCCAATTTTTTTTTTCAGGAACACTTCATAAAACTCAAATATGTCTGCCAAAATGAAAATCTAAAAGACCTTTCAATGGTGAGAAGTGGAAGTCTCTATCACAAGAACCTGAACACTACTTCAGGTCTCACTTATTGTGGGTGGTCAGTGTTTTGTTTTGTTTTGTTTTGTTTTGTTTTGTTTTGTTTTGTTTTTACACAGCAGTCCCCATTCCATGACCCTACCCTGCACTAAATGATGTCTGAAATTAAAAGTAACCTGGGGATTTTTTTCCTTGTATTCTATCCATGTCTCCCATTATTATCCATTTAGACAGACTGAAAATTAACTAATCAAAACTTTGATATGACATTGTTTTTATATTATAAGCTAATTCATTTCCATTGCTATATTTTACTAAATTTTGTTTAACATCTTATATGTCACTAAATTAATGTTTTAGAAGATTTTTAAAGCATTATACCTAATCTAGAAATGATGTCTCAAATTGAAGAGTTAGATTCAAAGAATATACCAAGTGTTTATCAATTATTTGCCGAATCCTAAAGCATTTAGCATGTTCTCTTCCTTCCTAACTTAAAGGCAATGAAATATATGACCAAGTGCTGACCCACCCATCGAGGCCAGTGCACAGGAACAAGCATTATATAGAAACTGTGCATGTTGCTTTAACAAGTGCTAAATATTTAGCAGATAATAAGCCGAACAGTTTTCCAACCCAGCCGTTTGTTTTTAAAATCCTCTCGATGTTCAGTTTCAATGACATAGCCAAAGCAGTGTCTTACCTTCCGACGCTAGTTTAAAAAGGTCTGGAGGAACTTATGTTAAATTTGAGGTCAGTTACTTTAACAGAATATTGAAGGAAACCCACATTAATTTACAGATGGAACAACTGATATCAGGTGAGTTTTATAATCAGTGTCACATATTCAAACCCTTATTGATTCCCTTGGTCATGTATTCATCAAGCCCAACCCTGTGAAGGCAGCCATTAGACCATAAACAGGTACAAAACAGCCAGCCATGCATGTCAGCAACTCACAGTGGGTTCTTAGCTGGTCACCTGGTTCCCAGGCTTCATCTCTAAACAGTTATGCTCTAGCACACTGACTTTTCTCTTACCGCCATCTATTCATAATGCTACATTCAAATGGTAAAGAAATATGAGCTTTTCTAGGACTTTCCTGTAGCTCTACCAATAAGTTCTTGGCCCACAGTGGCAGACATGAGGCAACTACTTAAATGTGGTGCCACTTCACATTTAATAAGGGAGGGACGGCAATAGGGATGCTATATCCTGACCACAGAGGTTCAAGCCATCATTGTGTTCACCTATAGGTTATCACTTTTTTTAGACATATAGACACATATAGTTACTGATGAAATACTTGCAGAACAAAAATCTCATTTGACATCAAACTAAATAATTAAAACAATAAGTACATATTAGCAGCATGGTATAACAAAAAAAATTCTTTTGTGATATGATTAAAGCGTGCCACCTACTCTGTTATTAGAGTTTCAGAAAACAGGAGGTTTTGTGTTTTTATTATACTTCCATCTACCAAATTAAACAGGTTTGCCCTTTCTTTCTCTACTGCTTAATTTGCATTAAAGTGGAATTAATCAAATTCTTACTTCAAGTGTTACAAATAGGAACAAATGAAGATGTTGTATTTAAGGTAATTTAACTATTGCAGTGGCATTCTGGCATGGAGTTGTATCCAATCAACACTTTTAATTACTTCAAATTAGTTCATTATCAGTAAGTTCTAAGATACCCCTAAGTGTGTTGAAAATATATTTTGAGTTTCCACCACTGTAAGAAATTTCTGTTTTTATTACAAACTAGCAAAGTGTCTTAATGCTTTCAAGCACTGTGACTGGGAAGCCAACACTTGATTTGAGTGTCTTGGGCACCATGAAGTTCACACAGCAATTAAACATTGACCTGTGGCTTTCTAGAGCCCTTATGATTTCCTCAAAGCAGAAAAAAATAGGTCATCCCCTTGTAACCAGAGGATACTAGCCAGCTGGTTTAAAAAAAAAAGTCATTTTAGAACCTGATTTCAAAACACTAAAATACTCAACTTCTCTCATGGACCCACCGAATGTGTTATTCATAATGAGGGAAAGAGTAGGTCTCCAAAGTCTGTTTCAAAGAGTTGGAGTGAAACATTATCTTTGTTTGAATTAGAAGCAAGGAGCTCTGTGAAGAGAGCTGAAGAATGCAGTGAGCCAGGACCCACAGACATAGTCCAGGCTGTCACACAGCTCAGCCTGCTAATGCCTTTATGCCCTTCTTCTTTTTTTACAGAAACATCTTGGAACTTATCAACTTTTACTGGAGATGAGTTGCAATTAATTAATCCAACAGACACTTTAATCTTGCAAATTCTTGACTTTTAACATTGTAACCAAGCTACTGGAAGAGAACATGACCATTAGAGGTAATGGGAAAGGAACACTTGGCTCAGCACTGTGCCCTGGTGTGTCCAGGACTGAAGAGACAGACCTCTAAGAAGTAGACCTAAGGAAATTTTGCTACCTGGTCTCTCAACACAAATGCTATCAATGTCCATGGTATCCATCTTCTCTCTATTTTTTTTCCAGTAAGAACTGCTTTCAAAAAAAATCAGCCAATGGATTCCTGGGAGTTTGTATATCTCAGAGGAATGGTGATGGGTCAAAGGGACTTGCTTCAAGTGGATTGAAACCCACTTGTTTGGAAATGAAAAGTCTGTCATTTGTTAATACCTGCTCTCTCTTGAGTACATTCACTGCTTTTAATTTGTTCCATTGTCAGCATTATGATAACCAATGTGTAATGCTTTGATTTATAATTCAGTTTCAGAGGCTAAATCTGCACAAGTGTATAGAGAGACTTGACGCCTGCCTTCCTACTTGGTGACATCACCAGTCCCACACCAATATCCACTTCTACAAGGAATTTACTAGCCTATGGCTTTTCAGATCACATAAAATCTTGGTTAAAAACGACCAACCAAATGGCCTTAATGCCTACATTTTCATTTACAAAAAAACAGGTATACTGAGATTTTCCAACCATGTTTCCTTCCATTTCTCTTTTTCAAATAAAGGTGAAAACAAAGTTGTCAGAAGTTCAGATATAGTTTTAGAGTATACAAGAGTCCGAGTGCTTGTGGTCTTGGTAATTTTTCTGTCTAATCTTTTGGCAAAAGTTTTAGAGGTTAGATCTAGGTAAATGAGTGAAAGTCATCAAGTGTATCCATTTAAACACTCCAGAAAAAAAGATAAAAGGATGGATCAGGGACAATTGTGTTCCCTACACAAGCATCTTGGTGGTTCTACCTGAGATTTTTCTAGGGCTTCTGAGTGGCATTCCTGGCCATCAGCTCTCAGGTCCAGGCAAGTCTTTTCTCAGAACTGTCTCTGGGTATAACCACTAAAATTGAATGGTAGAAAGGCAGCCTCCTCCTACTGTGTGACTTACTCTCACATGCCAGGCAACCATAACTAGCAAGTTGAAGAAAATGCTCATGTCCTGAACCTACAGCCTCCTGTGTAATATGTATTGAGTTGGTTAACTGCAGGAACATAGGGGCACTAACAGTCTTCTCTATCACAGGTCAGGAATAAGTGTGACTGTGGGAGTGCTGAATACCAGGACCAAAGATCTCTACCAATGTAGAGGCCCAAGAAAACCTGTTAATCACTTGTTGAGAACACTTGCCTTTTTACAAAGTAGACACAAAAATTAATCTCTGTCATTAGATAATTATGTACATGTCTCCTTATGAAATAACAAGGCCTGCTCAACATGGAAAGATGGAGGTCATATAGGAAGCTTCATATCAAGACTGGCTTTTTCTAAGAAGGCCTTCCCTCCTGAGGGTTTTTCTTGATTAGTGGACCCTGGAATGCTCTGTACATCAAGAGCTTCTGATAAATCACTCTTGCTTATTAGACGTAGACTATTTAATTATCCCTCTTTTAATAACAATAAGATTCAGGGTTACCATGGCCTTACTCATCAACCCACTGTAAATATATCATAACATCACAACAGGCCCGTGTTCAAACATGCTCAACCCAGTTTGACCAGTATCATCTTTTCTGCAAAAGTTTGAATCCTAATTCTATCAGTCAGTTACCTCATCTGTGTATCTATTCCCAGACTGATAAGTCCTGTGAGAGAGAATAATTTTCAGAAAAATAGAAGGAAATAAAGGGAGAGTTAGGTAATTTTTCCACCTAGACCAAAAAAAAAAAAAAAAAAAAAAAAAATTAGACCGTTGATCACCCCGAAGTTCTGACATTTTCCTCATGACTGAATTTCTTTTCATTTGCCGGCTTTCAACATTTGAATTTTCCAGGTGATTGCTGAACCATTTTCACCAAACCAAAGTAGGCAGTGCAGCATCATCAGAAAGGAAAGACTGCCGACATGAATGCAGATATCCCTATGAAAAATCAAGAGGTTGGTCACTCAAGCAGCACATGTGGTTTTGCACTAGCACACATCTGGAATTTCTCTGGAAGCATCCAGATGTTTGAAGCATAGAGATTTCCATCCTGTTGTGCGGTGGGTGGAGAGACAAACTGCTCCTGTATTCCAGATACCTTTCTTCTGCTGGCAACATTCTGCTGCTAAAAGTCTCTTTATTGTACAAAGAGACATAAACAATACAGAGCCACTGCGATTATTTTTATTTACTTTCTGAAAATGCCTGACTGGAAGAGGTTGGTTGCCTGTGCCTAGGGTGTTCTATACGTGACTGCATGAGGACTTCCTTGAAAGTGGCCATTCTTGGAGGCCTTCCACTGCCTTTTCTGAGCAAGGAAACTTCTTTTAGCCTTTGCTATGTTTCATCATTTTATCAGTTTTTCTGCTGCTGGTAAATCTTAAACATTTACAAAATCTACTGGACAGAAAAGTTTAAAGGGAATATGAAATCCGTAAGTTTTTAAGTTCAAATGGATTTTTTTTTTCATTTTAAGTGTCCCTTATAATATCTTAAAGCTAAAATTGTTTAAGTTGTTTGATATAGTTGCTTCATGGTGAATTTTATGACTGCAGTTGGAGGAAAAAGACTGCTTCCCCTAAATGAAACAAATTATCTTATTTGGGGGACTTTATTTGATGATGTCATTTAAATTATCCACTGCTTGCTGGTTACCATGAATATGGTAATGTTGCTTTATTTTCCCAGTTAATCCCTGTTATATTTCTCCACTAGAGAAAAAAATTGCTGTAAAGGAAATTCACTTTCCAGCAGGAGGGCTGAGGATATTCACACTGACCCAGATGTGATCTTTCCTGGGAACCTTGAGAAGCTAGTCTTGCCCCTTCTGATACACTGGGTGGTGGAGCTGCGGATGCCCTCACGTCAAGGGCTTCTCTCACCCACCGATCTGAAGTTTGGTAGAAAGACACGCAAGCTGTCCGGCCTATTTCCCTTTAAGAGCACTTTAGCTGCACGACTTGCACTGTGGCACTTACTGTAGGTGAACAAAGATCTCCGAGAGGCATTCAGCTATGCAAACATCTTGATGGACTTCCAAAGACAGTGCAAACATCCCTAACTCCCTAGGTAATATTTTGATTGTGTGAAATTCAACACTCAGAGCCAAGAATAACACCATGAGACAGATGATGAAATTCCTTCTTGAGTCTCTCCTTTCCTTAGAACACCAAAGCCTCACCACTAAGCCATGTTTGTCCACCCACTATGCTAACTGTTTTGGACCCTAATCTGAATGCAGGCTGTGGCCACAGCCCAGGTGCCCATGACCCTCCAGAAACAGCTGGTGTGTACACTGACGGTTTTGATACTGTTTTTCATTTTCCTTGAGATTTTAGATCATCAATCTCTGTACCTGTATGTTATTGAGAGAATGTTTGGCTGCTATTACAACAAAAATGGTGACAATTGATTGACAAATCACACCCAGAAAGACTGTTTCTTTTATTGTCTTTGATTATGAGGTGATTGATGTGAAATTTATAGATTAATAGAAAGGCAGAAATCTCTGGGTTGAATGTTGTGACTATTTCAAACACGTTTAAAGATACCCTATGACACAATGTTCTTTATAGTATAGAATATATTCCATTTGGGTATAGGGATATGAGGGCATGTGATCCGGTGAGAGCAGCAAAGAAACTGGGAGTCTGTGCACACCTGGGTTCTAATCCTTAGGTCTATTTCTTCACCTCAAAGCTTACTTTGGCCTCCTTATTCCCCATGGAAAAGAGTGAGGATATTGTTTGCCTACCTCACAGGGTGTTGTAAAGATGGTCAGAGCTGGAAACACACTTGGGTTATAGAACACCATGCTAATCACTAAGTTGCAGAAACAGGGAGAACCGTGTCCATCACAGGGATAAGAAGGGTGGGACCTGCAGTTGTCGGAGAAGCAGCCACTATGCAGGTTAATGCAGGAAAGCTTTCCCCTTAAAGGTCTACGTAGAAGGTATAAGCTTTCTAATGAGATCAAGGAGTTCCTCATACAGACATGGAGTGTCTCCATCTAGATGGACCATTTTCTTCTTCATCAAACTGAATTTTACTAAATGTTCATAAATACACCTAGAAATCCTGGCTCTTCCTGATTGATCCCTGAGGAGTCTGCCTGGCTGGCTCCACCTGTCAGAACCGTGGAGAGTCCCCAGTTTAGCCCTGGTGATGCCAGTTGATATTCTGGAATCAAATCCTGGATGCTGTATAACAGATATCATGAAGATTAGGTGTGGAATAATTTGACTTGGTTTACATTTCATTTCTAACACAAACCTTAGCAACAGAAAAATATGGAGCCTTACTCCTGCTTGGAACTCTTGAGGTAAGCTGTCTCTACTTTATAGATGTATTTTAAATATATCAGAGACCTGCTTGCCCAAGGGATTCAGGAATATATTGAAATGTGTGAACTTGCATAAATGTAATACACAGATGTGAGTTCCACAAAAGGTTAAACAAAAATTGAGAGATGCCAGGAAAGCAGCCTCAGCGAAAATTCTGTGCAACTCTGCAACGCAGTGTCTACTCCTTCGCTTAAACAACTAAACTTGGCCAGAACTAAGTGCCAAGAACATGATTTGGGGTTACAAACATTTGAGTGATAGAGGCAATATTATGAAGTAAGAACACACCTATGGAGCTCTGCTAAAAAGAGGGGTAATAGTTTAGTGACATGGCTCCATTCAGTTCCCTTATTTAATAATTGTATTCATTTGCAAAATCAGTGCCATAGTCTTAAAAATATGAAAGAGTTTCCAGATTTTCCATTGAGGAGTGAACTCAAACTTATGTTGTGCTTGGGTTACATATAATATTGTCATCCAATATAATCTCTTCTGTTTCTCTAAAATTTAATACCAATGGAATTAATCAAAGATTTAAATTTTGAAATTGGCTAAACATTTCCAATACATGACAGTCAGCTTTCTGAAGCATGACTAGCTTAGAAAGCTGTGTAACATCTTTTTTTTAATTTTTAAAAATTTTTCTTTTTACTTTTTATATTAATTACAGTTTATTCATTTTGTATCCCAGCTGTAGTCCCCTTCCTCATTCCCTCCCAATCTCACCCTTCTTCCCTCATCTCCTCCCATGCCCCTTCCCAAGTCCACTGAGAGGGGGGAACCTCCTCCCCTTCCATCTGACCCTAGACTATCAGGTCTCCTCAGGACTGGCTGCATTGTTTTCCTCAGTGGCCTGGCAAGGCTGTGCCCCCCTTCAGGAGGAGGTGATCAAGGAGCCAGCCACTGAGTTCATGTCTATGTTGGAGGCTGTGTGATGTCTTAAAAATAAATACATGCTCTATCAGAACAGAGTTACTGTCACTGCAGACTGGCCAATCAGGGAGTAAAAGATAATGTGGATATTCCTGGCTTTCTAGCCTCTTCTGAAATCAAATTTTTTTTCTACCCCAGAATGCAAAAGTGTGTCCATTTTATCATGAAAATAAACATCTGTCTTTATTCGCTTTTATATATAGAAAGCTAACATTGACTGTTCAGTCTAGTTTCAAATGGATTTGCTAGAACTAGCAGGAGGCAGTGGAGAGAATCCACTATGGAGAGATATTATCACAAAGTGTAAGCTAAAATTTAAGCATGTCAGAGGGAGCTGGGCAGCTCCTTGGAGGAATGGCTTAGAGTTTTCACCGGCAGAGAGAAGCACACGCCTCATGCCAACATGTCACTACGCGGAGGCACACATAGCAACAAGGCATTGCTGGAGGAAAGAGTTGAGTCTCTTTTCGGTGGTTTCTATTTCACATAGAACTCCCTAGAGCCCTCCCAGAAAATAAGAATGTCTTAGGAAAAACAAACAAACAAACAAACAAACAAAAAACTAGTTTTTAGCACAGATGTATGTGATTATTCAGCTAGGGGTCCATCAATCTGTAAGCATCATATATCTGATTATTCATAAGTACAACTGCCAAATTTTATGCCTGGAGCTGGCTAACATTCTTTTCAGCAAGTATGTGATGAACACAGATACACAGAGAGAAATTCTCTGCTGCTTAAAGAAAATATCTCCCAGCTTATTAAAGTCAACTGTCACTGAAGTACTACCTTCACAAAGCTTTTTTGTTTTGGTTTGGTTTTTATGAACCCTTGGGTCAATTGTTTATTTAGGCCCCACTTAAAATGCCTTTCTCTGATGAACAAGGCATGAAAGAAGAGGACATAATTACCCTTGGTGGAAATCTTGTTTCTACTAAAACAAACAAACAATAAATCCTGCTTTTCTTCTCTGTAGCCAGATAGCTCAGTAACTCCAAGAAGGCACAGTGATGGGTGTGAAGATGACTTCCTGTTCTCAGAAAAAAGAGAGAGAGAGAGAGCCAACAGGAAACCAGAGATGTCTTTCCTCTTTGAAGGCAAAGAGTACCCTGGATTTACAACTAAGGCAAAAATACTGTAAATGTGAGGGACTATTATCCCTCTTTTCGGTTCTTTACCACTTTCCCTCAGTCTTTTCCAGTTAGGATTGGAATTTCTAGCAATGATAAATAATGCTGTGTTGTATAATGACTTCAATGTTTACATTGTGAAAAAAATTAGTTACAGATGAGAAGACTGGAGAAGCAGGCTTCCGCAAGACTCTGGGCTCCTGACACTGGTTTTTCGTTCTTTGGTTATTTTTAAGTTATGTAAATTTCACATTTAACTACCTCAGCTACTGTTGTTTGATTTAGAAACACAAAAAACCATTCACTTCACAATTAACAAATTATTTCATTGAAAGTGTCAAAAGGCTATTTGATGCAAAACAACTTTCAAAAACTTTAAAATAACATGAGCAACCCGACTCCCATCAGTTCTGCTTTATTTGGATTGTTCTTAAAACATGGTTTGGGATTTAAAAAGAAAAAAAAAAGAAAAAAAACCTGTCACTTCCACCCAGCACAAAGAGAGGCTGTATATATAATGCTTAATTTGCCTTAAATATTTTGTACTCCCTTCTGCCCAATCCAATTTTTGTTTTTTAAATTTATCTCTGAATAAAAGGATATGGATGGTAGATGAAGAGCAACCTGAAGAGAACAAGCCACTAGGTTCTGGGCTCCCTGACTTCAAATGTACATAGTATTCTGAAGCATAACCACCATTCTTGAGTTTCTCTCTTCATTTCAGAAATAAGGTGTGTGCAGGCAACGTGAAGACATTCCCCTGGACAGCATGGTGCCTGGCCTCGGATGCAAACCTGCCGGTCCTGTGCTCTTACTTTGTAAACATTGTACAAATGTATTTGGAATTTAATTTGAAACAAAATTAAATGAGCTATTAAATTCTTTCTTGTAAATATATATAGATAGATATATATATTCTAATCCCACATATCCAAACATTCCTATAGCATTCAGATTGTAAGTGTGTCTTTTTTGGCTGGAGCCTGCTGCTCTGGGCAGCGACTCCAAGTGCTCTAGGTCAAAGCACAGTGTGTGGAGTATTTGATATACTGCAGTAACATAGTTATTTTGGTCAGTTAAGTAAGTTACAATTTGTGATGAAATGAAGTGGAAAGTAGTACTTCATAATGAATAAATTTTCTTGGTTACCTGATTTTTTTTTCTTGTAAAACTTAAAAAAAAAAAAAACAAGAAAACTTGAAATTTTATATATTTGGATTTTGTAGATTTTTTTTATTTTATTGCAACACAAGGTACCAAAATCATTAAATAAAGTACACTGTGGTCATTTTAACAGAAATCTGTTCCTCATTCTTTCCAAGTCCAAGAGTAGAGTGCCGTTAGCGTAAAGTGATGGACAGTGGCATGAGCATAGACTGATTTTTAAGGCAATAGGATCCAAAGCCATAGGTAAGCAACGCTGAGTTCTGACAAGTTTGAAACACATTTACGATTAGACTACGTCACTTTTTTTTTTGTCTTTCTGTTTTAAGACATCTTACTGTGTTGCCCACGCTGAAACTTGAGGTCCTCCTGCCACACTCAGACTTCTGAATAGCAACTAGCTGGGGTTCAAGATATATTTCACTATACCCAGCTTTACATGTTTATTTTACTTATTTTAGTTTTTAGAGGCATTAAAGATACCCTTCTAGAACCAATGTAAAACAAAACAAGTGTTTTTGACCACCAGAATTTAAAAGGAAAACTAAATTGCTTAACTTTAAATGAGAAAAATTTCCCACAAACAAATGTATTTTCTAAAAGATGATGCATCTAAGTGCTTCCTTTTTCTACATAGTAGCCCCACATTTCATGTAACTGTTAGTCAGTTTTTAAAAACTTGTCTCTGTTCTAAAAAGTAGTAGAGTCCCACAAGTTTACAGAGCACTGGAAGATGTTGGTAACATAAGAATAAGTTACATGTGTGGAAATTTCCATCAAGAAATATTAGAAATGAATATGGGTAAGCTTAGAAGATGCTCAGCACAGGGGCACTAGCGACTTCACTGTGGGAACCAGAGTTCAGATCTCAGCACCCACATCTGTTAGCTCACAACTACTATAACTCCAGTTCCACAGGGTCCAGTGCCCTCCTCTGGACTCTGTAGGTCACCTGATCATACACATGATGCATACGTGCCTCAACACAAATGAGTGAAGACATTTGTCATGTAAGCATGCAACATGAGTTCAATTCTTGGAAGTCATGGAAAGACGGAAAGAAAGGACCAACTCCACAAAGTTATACCCCAACTTCCACACAGACCACTGGCACATTGGCTCCAATACATATATACATTATGCATATACACATACACAGAGACACAAAGAAACCATGCACACATACACATACTCACAAATACACACAGTGGACATTTTAAAAGAAGTCTGTGTCTCATCCATCTGAAACCCAGATGAGCAAACATATACATGCATCCTGCACATACACATAAAAACACACACATACAAACTATGATCAGTTTTACACACATATATACATCATGCACACACATGGATAGACATACAGATACATACACGTACATCATGCAAAATACACACATACACAGTAATATTATTTTTAATTTAAGTAGAAAAATTAACAACATATAAGAAAAATATTAAATGAAAAAAAAGAAGGAAACATTTTCAAGACTTGCTTGTTTCATCCAGGCATGACAGCCAGTGCTCAAAACTATAGCATTTGGGAAGTAGAAGCAGGACCATGAATTCAAAGTTACCCCTGGCTACATTGCAAGTTTAAGGCTAGCTTGATCTCTATGAGACCAGTCTCCAAAAACTCTGGACCATCTTCACCACCACCATCACCATCATAATCATCATCAGTATATGGGAACACTCCCATCACAGCAGGAATGGAAGTCAGAAGACAACCTTTTGCATGAGTTCCAGGATCAAACTCAGATTGAGGCTTACAGAAGGAGCACCATTCCATACTGAGCCATCTTTCAGGGCCCCTGTGGCTTTTGTTGTTGTTTGTTTTTTAGAGTAACTTAGTAGAGTTTTCCTTTTTCACAAATGTTACAGTAGTAGATGCTGAATATAAAATTACTTGGAATCTACAATTTTGATTGATAAGTTCACTTGCATATTTTTACAAACATTTATATTTTTCACTTTGTTGACTGGACAGTTTTAAAGGAATCGTGTGGGATGCATGATATTAGAATTACAAGTATGAATAAACCTACTTATTCTTAATAAACATAGTCTATAAAGGAAAATAAGCAAGACATACAAAGTAGGACTAACTATGTAAAAGCAACATAGATGGGCAGAACTCTGTGATACCATTTAATACCTTTGATACCTCTTGGTCTGCGAGAGGCCAAGGCCTGAAAAAAAAAGTTATACTGTTGAAGGAGCCTGGATCCTCGAGTCAGAGACGATCTGCATCCCTGCCTCTCTATGGGACTTAGTGGGCATTACGGTATGCATGGACACAGTCATTCCTGGCTTCTACTATCCTTGGCACAACAGTGTACAAAAAGAACAACCAACATGATTAATT